CTGCTGATGGCTTCATGGTGCTCTGCTTCAACCTGCCTTTCATGTATTATTTTCCCTGTCCCTTTCTTTCATCTTAGGAAAATAGTAACAAACTTGTTCTGACTAATTTTAACTTGAGAAATAACTCCTTATTTTATTATATTTTGTATCCCTATACCAAAATGGGTTATGGTAAAATCCTAACCTTGTCATAAATGTGGCTCAGTGCTTGTCTAAAATTATGCCCATTAAATATGGTGATGATGATGATAACAAATCTTATTTTTTGTAATTTTCTTAGGAGTTTTATTCGAGAATGCTTAAAATATACTAAACATAGGAAGTTTGAGAATAATTGAGTATAAGCTACTGTTCCATTATTGTTAAACATCTTACTTCTAACTTGCTATATGTTTAGCAACTTAAATTAAGATATACACAAAATCCAATTACTTACAATTTGCTATCCAGTTGAATTCTGAAATAATCTTGTTGAGATTACATTTGTAATATAGTCCTGAATAATATAAAAGAATGGACTTAGGCACTGGAATTTATAGGGCAACTGTTTTAGTCCAAAGAAAGAAAAACAGGCCTAAATTTCTTTTCATTTAAAAACTTTCCAAAACAAAAACAGGCATACTTAGAGTAAGTAGTTATTAGATTTCTTCACCATATAGCTAGGATGGCTAATTTGATTTGAATTCCATAAAGAAAATTTAAATATTGAAACTTTAACTTTTGTTTATGCATGTTTGTAATCCGCTACAACTTTACAACAGTATTTCGGTATTTCACTAGATTCCTACTTTCCCATTCTCATCCAAACTCACATGTTCTATCCTGGTACCCAATGCCTTTCAGTTATGTTACACTTAGTTTATATTTTCTGCTAAGTGATTTTAAATATGTACTTCAATCTGACTACTTACTTGACCTATATTTCCAATCTCATGTTTTTCTCTCTCTCTTTTGATGCCATACTTTAAATTCTGGTACATTTCAGGCTCATCAAAACCTGACTGAGCCTGCCACATCTCTAGAAAGGTATTTAAGATGGTGAGACCTATTGACTTATATGATATTTTTTTAACAATTTTTGTCATTCCTCTAAG